TGACTTACTCTGTAACTTTGATTAAGTCAGTTAACTGATCCACCCACAAAATTAAGAGGAATTCCCGTGAGAAAAAATATACTGAGTCCTTCAGCTAAATAACAAGAAGGTAGGGTTGTTCAGCCAGTGGCAGAAGGTGCTCCTCTCCCAGCTCTCAGGATGCTTTGCTGACAAGGGATGAAATCGGTTCTCAGCAGTGCTTCTGGCACAGTTCCATGGTTCTACCTCTGCCCTATCATTTCTCCTGCTGTGGCTTCCTTCTGAATTCTATGCTGAGGTCCAAACAGCATGAGTCAAAATACCCCAACCTGGAAGTGGCTAACGCATGAATCACTGTGGCCAGGTCATGAACCAGGAGGAATGAAAGGGGTTTACTGTGAGTTGGGTAAAAAATATATAAATAAAGGGGTCCCACACTTCTCTGTAGATCATATCTACACTGACCTTGAGCCACATGGTCAGCTCTCATTGATACAATGGGAGTTCTGCATGCAGACCAAAGGCAGTCTCAGCTTCTTCTGCCCTCTGCTAATTACAGGTTTCTGACATTTCTTTGGTTTGTCAGAAGAAGACCCTAAACAGCACATTAACAATGGAAGGAGCCACATGATGAAGATAGTGTTAATTCATCCCCAAGGCTCAGCTGTCTTCTCCCTCAGAGAGAATTATTCAGGAGCAAAGGACAAATCTAAGATCACCCTTTTGTTATTCCTGGCCAGAAGATCAATAAACATAGCCAGCACTTGAAGAAGATCTAGCTGTCTCCGGCAAGGGGCCAAGGTCCACTGTCCCATGCATACACATCTCTATTAGACTTGTGAACTTGTCACCCCTGTTACAGAGACTTGATTGCCTTCATGCTTTTGGAAGAGGATATGGCAACACAGGTCTGTATCTGTAGTGAGATCAGAATGTATTACACACCATGCCCATTACAGATAAGTCATCGTAGCCAAAGGATTCATCACGTGTTTGTGCAACTCCTACTGACAAAAACATGAGTCCACACACCCAAAGGGGATACCTGGCACAATACTAAACCTCAGCTGAGTTTACTCCAGGTGCCTTTAAAAACGTCTTCCAAATTCCAGCATTTCAGCTGCTACAGGTTTTCAGCCATGCTAATTCATGAAGTGGCATTTGCAGAGGTTACAGATGTATCAACAGAGCTGTGCCCTCAGCAGAACTTTCATTTCTGAAAACAGCCACCGTAACTTTCTTCATCTGACGTTTCTATTCCTTGGTACCAAGCTTAAATTTCTAGAAACAGGTCATTTGGAAACCTGTACATGTCAGTTAGCAATGTGTTTGTTGGGATTGGATTTTGTGGTCTCACCATGAGAACTGCAGCAAGAAGGCAAGCAGCACTGTTATGCACTCCCAGAGGCTCAACTGGAAAAATAATTCAGTTATATTTCAATAGCTAAAGTACTTCAGCTTACCCAAGGAGTCTGATAAGAGGATTCTAACCTTCCCTGTCACCATACTGTAACAGAGGTCATTTTTATTCTAATATTTTAAAATATATGTGAATACTGTAAGGGTGGTGCTGAGAAGCCCACGGAACACTTCCTCCCCCTGCCATAGCCCTGACAGTACATCTTACCCTGCTCCACAGCTCTCTGCCCTGTGGTTCTGTTTCCACACCACCCAGTCAACACACGGCCCCTCTGCTATTATTCATGACCACAACAATAGAATATGGGACCTATAAATGTAAATCATCATCATCTCCATATTTCTGCCTGAGCTTCAGGCAGGTAGGAAACTCCTGCCTTATATGAAAGTCCTGCCCTAGACACGGAAGGCTCTGCTGTCTGCCTTGTACCACTGACCTGCAGACAAGGGTAGGAGTGTTTTGGAGACCGAAAACATCCTTGTAGTTGCTCCTCTATCACCAGAAGGTGTGACATGCACATCTGGGATATCCAAGCATTTGGATCCACAAGAGAAGAGGTTATGTCCACCTCTCAGGGGGCCCCTCTACCAAACAGCATCTGCTCCTGCTGAGGACAGTGTTTGGAGAAGGTGAATAACACGGCACAGCCACCAAAGGCTTGGAAGAATGAATGAGGACACTGAGTGGGGTTTATCAGAAACCATAAAACTATGAAGAAAACCACTTGAGTTCTTGGAGCCTTAATAGCCCTTCCTTAAATTCCTTATTTTGGCTAGTGAAGCCCTTCAGATTCCATACCACTGTGATGCTGATCCCAACCAGCATCCTGGTGCTTTACCCAGCTCTGTCCCTGTCACCCGTCCTGGCCAGGAAGAGACAAACATCTATTTGTCACCTCTGTTTTTTTAAGACTCTGTTTCCTTGGGGCAGGGCACTGTCACTCCCCTGCATGTACAGCACCTGGCACAACAGGGCTGTGACTCAGCCACCTCCCTGATGGGAGTAACACTAAAATAGCTCATTACAGCCCTTCCTAACACCGTGGTCAAATGACCTGGGCATCCTGCAGGAAGCAGGCAAACACCAAGTCTGACTGCAACCGAGTCTGGCAGTCTCCATCACCAAACTTTTTTGTGCTGCCCCCGCAATATTGTGAATTGTGAGTTCAGAGACTGTAACGAGGAGTGACCAGCCATTAGCAACATCTCTGCCAGGCTGCCAGCACTGGATGCACTGAGGAATCACCCCTGCCCTGGCAGACGAAAGGGCACAGCATTGTCTTGGTGCAATAACCTGAGCTCTGCATGTAAATCCCTTCCCAGAAAGGAGATGTATATACATTAGGCTACAACCCTTCTGCTTCTGCAGCTGTTCCTTAGTTTAGATAGGGCCAGTAAGGCTCAGAGATTGTTTTCCAATCCCAGCAGCATTTTTCTTTGTTTGGGAGCAACACGTAAAAGCTGCCTGGTTTATGACAGTCACGTTCTGAACAGCACGTTCACCAGCTGAACCTTTGGTTTAATGGGACTTTTCACCCTAAAATGTCCTGATTGCGCATTAAAATACTGAAAGGTTTTGCAGAATTTCCTAATAAAAGTGATGATTTTCAGCATTATGACCTCAACAATTCCTAGTGAAAGCTTCAGTGAAAACAAGTGCTCAGGAATGGAGTTGTTTAGATGCACCTAAACACCTCTTTTAAAAATCTAGCAATAAAAAAAATCCTGTATCCTGCTGTCCTACTAATTTTCCAGTTCCAAACAAGGAACCGTATAAAATTACGCATTTTTAAATGGAGCGTATGAAAGATCAGATACTATCCATCTCAACAGCAAGGAAAATTCTATCTCCCCCCACCTCGGAAAAAAGCCACGATTTTGACAGTTCCCCTTCACAACAACAGTGCTCGTTGAGAAAAAAACAAAACGGTCTCACACTCAGCCTCCAAACCAGGGCTATGCTGCTGTTTTCACATGCAAACCCAATTCTTGCTCGTGTCTCCTGTCATTTTCCTGCTCACGGCTGCTGCTCACGGCGCAGCTCAGCTCCTCAGATGCTTGCCTTTGCAGCTTCATTACGAAACAACAATTAGCACGCGAGAAAAAAAAAAAAAAATCCCAGCCCAATATTAACTCAACTTTCCAAAACAGAGAAGCAGCCTGGATTTATTCCGGGCGAGCAAGAAACAAGGGCTTTTGGCCGCAGCTTTAGTGGCAGAGCAGCTCCTCCGCAGTGGGATCCCTTTCCCGGGGAGGCTGCGTGCACGCAGCTTTTCCCGCAGAACAAGGGCACCCTATATCGTCACCTGTAGGGGAACCTATAGCTGCCATAGGGATGAGCGGCGAGCAGAGGGTGACGGTGCGATGGAGACGCGTGGCGAGGGACTCGCTGATCCTTTTGTAAAGTTAAACGGAAAACAAAACGCAGCACATGCTCCGCGGAGGAAAAAAAAAAAAGGGGGGGGGGGAACCCAAACATGAAACAGAGGAGGGCAGAGAAATTTAAAAAAAAAAAAAAAAAAAAAGAAAAGTAGAAAAATAAAAAAAAAAAAAAAGGCTAAAACAAAGAGTAACAGAGAAACCCGAGGAAAACGAGGGGAAAGGCCGGAGGCGGAGGGGAGCTCGAGCTCCCGGCGAGGTGTCGGTGTGACACCCCCGGCCCCGCCGGTCCCCGGAGCGCCCGGGCCGAGCCCCCCCGGCCGAGCCCCCCCGGCCCGCTCGGCAACGCGTGACGTCACACGGGGGACCCCGGCGCCGCGCATTGGCGGAGCGGGGCGCGCGGCCCCGCCCCCGGCAGGCGGCGGCCAATGAGCGCGGCGCGCTGGCTCCATGTGCGAACCATGTGTCCGCCCGCGGGGCGGGGCGCGCCGGGCGCTGCGCCGCTGGAGCGCGCTCCGCCACCGCGCGGGGTCCGCGGCCGCGCTCCGCCGCGGGCCACGGCCGCCCCTTTGTTCCCAAAGCGCTTCTGCCTCGCGGTGCCGCCGTCCCTCGCAGCTCCCGTTCCCGCTCGGGAGACCGCTCCGCGGGGGAAAGCCGCGGGCTACGCGCACCCTCCGCGCCCGCGGAGCAGGGGGGCTAGCGGCGCGGCTGGCCACCGCCCCGCACCGGACGCTTGTCCTGCCCTGCAGTGCACTGCTCTGCCCGGCCCTCTCCTCCCCGCCGGCTACCTGGAGAGCGCTGCCACTTGCCTACGTGACTCTGCCCATGCCCCGGCGGGGGGAGCGGGGACGTGTCATCGCCTCCTCCCCCGCCGCTCCGGCTCCGCCACCGGCTCTGGCTCCGCGCGGAGCCCGCCGCCCCCCCGGCCCCTCTCGGTGCCCCTCCGAGCCCGCTCTCCTCGAGAATCAGAGATGCGCCCCCCCTCCCTGCACCGTCCCGCTCCACTCTCCATCCCAAACTTTCCCCCCGGGCCCGGTCTCCCCAGTAGCGGCGGGGGTCGCACGCACGCCGCTGTCTCGCGGGGTGCAGGCCGGCCCCGGCGCCCTTTGTCACTGCGTCGCCAGCCCCTGCAGCCAGCCGAAAGTTTGGTTTATTTTCCTTACTCCCCTTGACCGCCCCGCGGTCACGCACACGCGCGGCCACGGCCGCCAGCCCGCACTTACTTTTATTCTCCTTCTCGATCCGCTCCAGGTAGCTGGCGGCCTCCAGGAGCACCTGCACGTTGTAGAGGAAGGTGTCCATGCCCGCCGCGGGGCTCGTGTTGCAGATGTCCCCGAGGGGGCACCGGGCCCCGCCGGCCGCCCCTGCGCTCCGCGGCTCGCTCCGCGGCTCGCTCCGCGGCTCCCTCCGCGGCCGGCCGCGCTTCCCCATGCCCCGCAGCCTCCCCGTGCTGCGCCCGCCCGCCCGTCCGTCCGTCCGTCCGTCCGTCTGCCGGCGAGCCCGGCGGCCGCCGCGGTCCCAGCGCTGCCGCCGCCCGCCCCGCCGCTGTGTCGCCCCACGGGCCGCCGCCGTCCCGCCCCCCCCGCGCCCCGGCGGGGCGGCCCGGCCCGGCCGCGCCTGCGGAGTGCGAGCGCCGGCGGCTGCGCGGCGCCCGGCGCGGGGGGGCGGCCGGCGGGGCAGGGCCGGGCTTGTCCCGGGGCGGGGGGACCGGCGGGTCGCCGCTCAGCAGCCCCGGGACGTGTTACAGCTCCGCAGCGGGGATCGACCCCCTGGAAAGGGGCGCCGGCTGCTGCGCCGGCCGTGGTGGCACCGCGCCCCTGGGGATGGTGGCACTGGGGGGGGCCCGGCTGCACTCACCCCCAGGACACAGAGGCACGGCCAGGCCTGTTCTGGCCCTTGCCACCCCGAGTGTCACCTCCCGCCACTGCCCGAGGGTCTGTCCCTGGTCAGGGAGCCAGCGTGACAGGCGGGTTGGGGAGCCCATGCTGGGCCCAGCCCTGGGGGCGATGGGGTCAGCACTGCACGCAAAACCCGAACTCCAGAGGGGCCCCTCAGCATGAAGCATTAATGGCAAATAACTCCTCCTCTATTATGTAGTGCCCCCCAGAAAGCTCTCTCTGGGTTCAGACTCTAAAAGCAATTAATAAATCTTTTTTTTCAAAGTAAATCGAAGGTGGAGAGCAGGCAAGGGATGCACCAGCCTTCCTCGCCTCCTCCGTATCCATCCCTGCAGACCTGGGGTCAGGGCCGGGCACACTACAGCTTGTTTTCCCCTTGTTTTGCAGTCAGGGAGGTGAGAGAGCAGCTGAGCCTGGAGGAGAGAGTGCAGGACGCGACCCAGACTGAGGAGAAGGGCAGGGATTTGCACTTGCAGAAATCATTTACAATCTTGGGTCCATGAATTTTGAGGGGGTAGGCGGAGTGGACTCCACTCGCACCAGGCTGGCAGCAAGTGACCTCCAACACCCTCCTGGCTCCCCTTTTCTCCATGACAACACCACCTGAAACAGGCGCTATGTTTGCAGCACAAAACCCCGCTCCTGCCCGGCCGGTCGGGTTGGTCTGGTTCCACTGAGGAGCCCTGTAGGAGCGGCTGGGGAGAAGCATCGCCCCAGAGATGTGCTGGGGCGTGGGCACCTGCTCACACCGTGGGGCTCCGTGGGTGTCGCCGGGCTCACCGGCCTCCCAGGGACCGGAACCGGCTGGAGAGCCGAGAAGAGAGGTCGCGGTGGCGCTTAGGGGTGCTGCATTAGTAAGGGCTACTGGGTACCTGCAGCCCGCAGCATCACCGCGTCCTGAATCATCTGAGAGGGGACGGTGCCCCAGCAGCAGCGCACGCAATGAAATCCCTGCGGCACCCAATTGCTGGGGGCCAGCAGGCTATTTTTGGGAGGCATGGCTGCAGGATTTCGTCGGTCACATGCCCTTCCCACGGCACATGCCGGGGTTGGGCCAGCTCCCCGTGCAGTGCGGCTCAACACAGCCCCTCCCGCGGCCATATGGCACCTCCTCCGTGCCGGCGGCACCACACGGCTGCTGCCACATCAACAGTGCCACGAATTGTCCCATCACTGCGTTTGGCAGCCCAGAACGGGCTGATGTAGGAGGGAGGACACAAAGCATCATCTAGATTTAGTTGTGGCCTTAAGAAGAGTGGAGAAGAAGGCAGAGCCTGGTGTGCGGGGAATGGAGCGGGACAGAACGCCGCTGCCAGGCTCAGGAGTGCTCAGCACCCGCATGGCCATCCCCGAGAGCAGGATTTCTGCTGGGAAGGCAAGGGCTGAGCAGAGGTGGAGCTGGGAGCCAGGCTGAGCCACAGGGTACATCCAGGCAAGTGAAGGACTCAGAATGTACTCGGCTTTTATTAACTCCACTGACTAGCTGAGATAAGACATGATTCCTGCTTTACAAGCATGCATGGGTGAACACTCCCATTAAAACATCAGTCAGAAAGTCTCTGGCTTTCTAATTGTGCAGGGATTGAGCTGTCGGTGGGACTGCTCTAATCAACCCCAGTTGCAGCCACTGGGGACCTGAACACAAGGAACTGTCCAGCTTGGCTGGACACTGAGGGCACCTCTCTGCTGGCTCACCATCGGGCAGAAGGCTTTCCATGACCTCACCTTAAAGTACAAGAGATCATTGCTGAAAGCACACCAAAGGCACCACAGTCAGCCAGCATCAGATTGATTAAAAATCAGATTATTTAAAAATCTCAGCCCCTTTCCAATAAGATGAGGATGTGTATGGCCATCCAGAGTCCATACTGTAGATCTTGTGCCTAATGGCAGCATCCTCTGTTACCTACTGCATGTCTTGGTCCTCCTTGTGCACCTGCACAACACTTCTCTAGCCATTTTTTTGAATGCTTTGTATTGATTGGTGCTGATTCAGCAGGTACCGCTTTTCCCAATGACATCCCAGGTTTGAAGCCAGAATAATCATAATTTTGATCCCTTTCCCTTCTAGCTTAGTTGCAGGATGATTTCTCTTTAAAGGCACTTCCACAGAGAAAAATATTCCTGAGGGAATGGTCCAAGGGCAGGCATTCCAAGGGAACTGTCTCAAGAGGAATGGAGGTTTTGGGGCACATGGTCTGTGGGGTACAAAAAAAAAAGTGGGCAGTGGAAAGCACCCAGAATCAGAGAGGCAATACAGGAGTGATAAGGGAAGAAGGTTTGCAGTGTTGCCAGCTCAGCACATCCAGCAGCCATGGTCCAGCACCCTCCTCCACTGCAGCCTTCTAAATACAGCCAGTTATGGGCATGCTGTCTTTATTTCCCTTCTCTTGTACTTTGTTCAGCCTTTGAGCTCATCCTGAAGTCTCACTGTCATTTTTTTTGCTCTGCAAGGTGATGGGGAAGATGCTTCTTGGACAAAAGTAGAAGATCTGAGTGCAGCCCCATGGGCCCAGAGAAATGGGAGTTGGGGTGAGCTGGGGTGAGCCCCTGGCTCAGCCCCACAGCCCACATGGCCTCTGCTTCCAGGGGGTGGCCAAGGCAGTTCTCACCTTATGGGATATCCCTGGACCTTTTATCAGCAGCCTGTGGCTGCAGGCTGCCCTCAGTACAGCGAGGGGACAGTGCCCAGGGATGCAGAGGTTGGGTGCCCGCAGGGATGTTGCCAAATTCACACCTGTAAAAGTGGGGAAAATATCCACCCCATCATTTGGGATTGGATAAGATAAGAGGTACTATTGCTGGAGTGCTTTATTTTGCAATGCTGCATAACATAGCAAGGTGTGGGTTTAGGTGCAAAGCTGCCAGGTGGTGTGAGGTGCCATGAGAAACCCCTGGGGTAGAGAGTGGGCATCCCTTCCCCTCTGCCATGGGAATCATCTCATGTGTGTGTGTGGTGCCCATGTTGGACTGAACAGAGGAAAACAGAGCTACTGCTCTGAGCACAAATGCTAAGTCCCCTTTGTTGGGTGTATTCTGACCTTGTTCTGGTGGTATCACACGCAGCAGCAATTTCCCCACATCGCAGGTGTTAAACATTCAGTTTGTTCCAGTGGCAGCACCAGTGTAAATCACCCCATGGACAGACCTGGCAGGGTTCAGAAAGGGTTTTAAAGGGTGGGAGCCAATACAACCCTGGATTTCGGTCTGCAAAAGCTCCTGGAAGCACCTGCTCTCTTTCCTTTCAGGCTAATCCTAATGTAATCCTTTTATAAAATTTCACCTGCCTTTAAAAGTCTGCTGCAGTCATTTTGGAAGAACTAACTCATTTTCCAAGTGATATTTGTGCTGCCTGTCTGCCATGGGTAGGCATTTCTTGCTGCACAAGAGTGATATAAAGATATTGAAAAATTGTTTGGGGGCTATCACATATCTCTTTTTTTTTTTTTTTTTAATGGACACAGTTGTTGTGGTGGGGATGGGCTAGATCTGGTCTGGAGCCGCTGTACTCTGGAGGAAGAAAAGATCTCTCATGGAACCTGGGTGATTTCTAAAACCTTGATTTGGCTGTTGGCCCCAGGAAGTTTTTAGTGTTACTGGTGTCACTCCTTATGGCCCCAGCCCAATGGTGAGTGCAGGTATTGTCCCTCTCCTTGCCCAAGCATGATGTAATTGGGGTGCAGAAGTCTGCCTGCACAGAGAGATGCACAGAGGTCAGTGAAATCTCATATCTCTTCTTCCACTAGTCAATAATTAATACATATAGCTCTCCCCTGAAACATTGGCTCCAGGCTGTCCTGCCAGGCCCCTGGCTGCCACCTGCTATTGCTGCCTGTTGTCCCTTGTCCCAAGGCATGGGATGTGATTTACAGCAGGGCCACACATCCTTCTGTGGGGCTGCTAGATGTTTGCAGCCAAGGGCTCCATGTCCTTATGGATGCTGTCAGAGCCTGACTCTCACCTGGCCAGACCCAGGGTGGGGGGTGCATCCAGCCCTCTCCTGCAGCCATCATTACAGTGGCCTTTCATCTCCCTAAGTGAAATAAGAGATCAGGATAACTCAGAGGTGCTCCAGGAGAAAGGCCCTTGTCAGGGTTTCAGGTGCCTGCTCCAGCAGCTGTCATGCATAAGGGGTCATGCTCAGGCTCTGCAGCACTCCTGATCCTTTGCTGGGGCTCAGGAAGCTCTGTGGTTTCACTGGGTGTCTCTGGCTGCCCACGCTGCCACATCGCCTCTGCAATCTGTCCTTGATGCTCTCTTTTGGTGTGTGCTGGAAATAACTAAGCTACAAATAGTGGTGATAGTCCCTCTTGCCTGCTCCTGCCTTGCCTAGCCATACTGCTTCTCTCAGATCCATTTATGATGCTGTTATTTACAGTTTCATCCTGCTAGCGCCTCTGAAGCTTCTACTTAATTTCCTTTGAAATCCCTCCTTGCAATCCTGTAAGGATTGATCCTCCTTGAAATCCTGTGTGGTGCCCCATGATCTCAGCATTCATCAAGTAAATCTGAGCTACGATTTTTTAAATTTTTTTTTTACTTCCAGCCTTCTGATTGCCCTCCCTACTCTCCATCTTTGTAATAGTAGGTTTTCTCTCTGAGAGGCTGGGAGATGGCACGAGCTTTTCTCAGCTCCTACTAGTTCTTTGCTGTTCACA